TTTCTAATTAGTACTCCTTTAATCTCCTTCTCCTATCTTATTGCTCTAGCAAGAGTTTCAAGCACTATGTTGAAAAGGAGTAGAGAGAGTGGACATCCTTGTCTGGTTCCTGATTTTAATGGGAATGGTTCCAGGCTTTCTCCATTTAGAATGATTTTGGCTATGGGTTTGTTGTATATAGCTTTAATTATGTTGAGGTATGTTCCCTCCAGTCCAGTTTCCTCTAAGGCTTTGAACATAAATGCATGCTGAATTTTGTCAAAAGCCTTTTCTGTATCTATTGAGATGACAATGTGGTTTTTGTCTTTGAGTCCATTTTTATGGTTAATGACGTTTATTGACTTGCATATATTGAACCATCCCTGCATCTCTGCAATAAAGCCTACTTGATCATGGTGAATGATATTTCTGATGTGTGTCTGTATGCGGTTTGCAAGTATTTTGTTGAGAATTTTTGCATCTATGTTCCTTAAGGGTATGGTCTATAGTTCTCTTTTTTGGTTGTGTCTTTACCCAGTTTGGGCATTAGAATGATGCTGGCTTCATAGAAGGAATTTGGGAGTTCTCCCTCTGTTTTTATCTTTTTGAATAATTTAAGTAGTATTGGTTGGAGGTCTTTAAGTGTCTGGTAGAATACTGCTGTGAATCCATCTGGGTCTGGGCTTTTTTTAGTTGGGAGGCTTTGTATTACTGTTTCAAGTTCCTTATATGTTATGAGTCTATTTAAACTGTTGATCTCTTCTAGGTTTAACTTTGGTAATTTCCCATGATTTCAGATATCCATCCATTTCTTTTAGACTTTCAGATTTAGCAGCATATAGGTTTTTAAAATATTCCCTTATGATGGTCTGGATCTTTTGGGTGTCTGTTGTGATATTTCCCTTTTCATCTCTGATTTTGTTGATTTGGATTTGCTCTTTCTTTTTTTTTTTTTTTTTGGTTAACTGGGCTAAGGGTCCATCTCTTGTTCAGCTTTTCAAAGAACCAGCTGTTCGATTCATTGATTCTTTGTATTGTTTTCTTTGTTTCTATGTCATTAATTTCTCCTCTGATTTTTGTTATGTCTTCTCTTCTGCTGGGTTTGGGTTTCATTTGTTCTTGCCTTTCCAGTGCCTTGAGTTGCAGTGTTAGGTCATTTATTTGGGCTCTTTCTAATTTAAAAAAAAAAATTATTATTTTTATCTTATGTGTATGCGTGTGTGAAGGTAAGTGCACCCATGTCGTGCAATGCCCACGGAGGTCAGAAGAGGCTGTCCAATCCCCTTAGACTGGAGTTATGGACAGTTGTTAGCTGCCATGTGGGTGCTGGGATTCGAACCTGGGTCTTCTGCAAGAACAACCAGTGTTCTTAACCTCTGAGCCATCTCTCCAGCCCCTCTTTCTAATTTTTTAATGTAGGCACTTAGAGCTATGAACTTCCCTCTTAGGACTGCTTTTAATGTGTCCCAGAGGTTGTGTTGTATTGTCTTGTTCTTTTTATTGAATTCCAGGAATTCTTTTATTTCTTTCTTAAATTCTCCTTTGACCCAATCATTGTTTAGGAGTGTGTTGTTCAGTCGCCACGAGCTCGTGTAGTAACTAGGGCTTTGTCCAGTGTTGCTTTTGAGCCTTATTGCATTGTGGTCTGATAGAATGCATGGAATTACTTCAATTTTTTTGTAATTGTTATGGTTTGTTTTGTGGCCCAGTATGTGATCAATTTTTGAGAAAGCTGCATGAGGCGCTGAGTAGAAAGTATATTCTTTGATGCTTGGATGGAATATTCGAAAGATATCTGTTAGATCCATTTGACATATGGTATCATTTAATTCAGATGTCTCTCTGTTTATTCTTTTCTAGTTGACCTGTCTAATGGAGACAGTGGGGTATTGAAGTCCCCTACTATTACTGAGTTGGGGCTAATGTATGTCTTAAAGTCCTATAGTGTTGTTTTTATGAAATTGGGTGCACCAGAGTTTGATGCATATATGTTAAGGATTCTAATATCTTCTTGGTTAACTGTTCCTTTGATCAGAATGAAGTGACCCTCCTTGTGTCTCCTGATTAGTTTTCGTTTGAAGTCTTCTTTGTCAGATATTAGAATTGCAACCCCTGCTTGTTTCTTAGTGCCATTTGCTTGGAATATTCTTTTCCATCCTTTTACCTTAAGGTAGTGCCTGTCTTCATTTTTCAGTATTTAGAAGTTGGCTGCTGGTGGAGAGGATGTGGTGATGGAGCACTCTCTTCTGGGGAGGATATGGCTAATGCTGTCTTCTAAACCAGTCTCTGTATTTTGCACTATTTCATTTTATTTTGTACATCTGTTGGGATGCATGTGTCTTCTGGTTTGTAATCTTTCCTCCTTTTCCCACTGCTCTGTCTGTTTGATTTTACGTAAGTCCTCCTGGTGAGTTGTCTTTGTCTGCATCTATGTGGGTAGGGTGGGGCTATAGTAACAAATGCCGTGGTTTACCAGCATTCCCAGTGTTAACTGCAGAAGATACTGGTACACTTCACTTGTGTCCCCATAGGCTTTTGTGGTGCTAAGTGGGGAATATAGTCTATAGTGGTTTTGATGACTAAGGATACCAATATTTAAGTAGTGAGGTAAGGAAAGAATAGGAAAGGGAGAAAGAAAGCGTGAAATAAGAATGAGAAGGGGGAACTGGAGAGATGGCTCAGTGGTTAAGAGCACTGGCTGCTCTTGAAAAAGACCCAAGTTCACTTCCAGCACCCACATGGCAGTTAACAACCATCCCTAAGTCCTGATGAGGATCCAACACCCTCTTCGGGCCCCCACAGACACCAGGCACACATGTGGTATACTTATATACATGTAGACGAAAACACTCATACACATAAAATTAAAATAAATAAAATCCAGCACAGCTGGGGCTACAGGGAGACCCTGTCTCAATAAATAAATAAATAAATAATCTTTTCAAAAAGAAAAGAATCAATAAAATGGAGTAGAAAGTATTGTGCCCTGTGTGTTTCTTCCTGGCTGAGGTGGTGTGGTTTCCCTACTGCTCATATTGTCTTTTTTTTTTTTTCTTTTTTTCATTTAAAAAAAATCAGATTCCAAAGGCAGCAAGGAGGACTGCTATTCTCAATAATTCAAACAAGTCAAAGTCATGGTGTGGGTCCAGAGAGAAAGGGCTTTGTGGCTGAAGACCACTTTCTGGCAGACTTCTCCTGTCTGATTTCCTCAGGCGGACATGACAGCTCTGTCTCTGGGGCTTGTGGCTCAGTTGATGTACAAGCTTTCCATGCCTCAGGCTCTGAGGGAGAGTGGAGAGCCCGCCCACCTGTGTTTACCTTTGTCCATCAAGATGCTGTATCAAGTTCTGCCACAAACTTCCTGTGACTCTGATCTGGGGGTCCCAATATAGCTTTCCCTGGCTCTGGCCATGGTATCAGGCTGATACCATGGGTGAAGAGTATTGACACTCAGCATCAGACACCCTTACCACACTTCTGCATCTCCATAGTCTGTGCTACTTGGGAACTGTTGCATCCATCCAGATGCTGCACCAAGTTCCAAGTCTACTGAGTTCTGCGATATAGGTAGAGCCTATGATTCTCTTGGCAGTGGCTGGGGTTGGGGGATGGTGGGCATTGCTTATCTCTCAGCTCAGACACCCATACCCCCTTTCCAATGCTGTAACCACAGCTAGCTGTGCTCTATCTACTGTCCTCTACCAGCACCCTCAATTCAGCCTCTGATTGAGTTTGGAGCAGTGCCTACTTCCTTCACCACCAGCTCTCATGAGATCAGTGCTCAGAGGTCTTGAACACACTTCCTTTGATGGAACCCAGCTCAGCAGGAGCAGCTTGGTGTGGCTAGGGGCACTGGCTAGCTTCTCTGTGGAGAAAAATCCTTGTCTTATTCCAGTTTAAGCTTTTTTCTCACTTCTCTACTGATGGCTTTTTATCATGACCTTCTTCCATCTGATCTCATGATCTTACAGACATGGCCTTTAATCTGCCATCTTGCTACCAACTCAGTCTTAAAACTTTTCATTCTTAAAATGTTCTACATCTTTTCTTCTTTCACTGCTTGTGGGGTTTTCTTCTTCTTTGGCTTTCAGTATCTTCATTCTGATATGCTAATGTGATTTTCTTATGTTCACAATAGTGGAAAAAATGCATAATTTCATCAGTTTTTCTTTAATATATGGGTTGTAAGAGCTCAAATGCCTTCTCTAAATACCTGCAGTGTGTGCATGACTTCTGGGTCTGCTTCTCGTGTCTGTTGTTTCTTTTGGCTTTCAGCCATTAGCTATTGATGGAATACTGGCTATATCCGATGAGGAATTGAAAAAGTTCTGACTGATATATTCTTCTAGGGATGATCTGATGTTCTTCTGGAAGACAAAGTACAATATGGGAAGATTGCCTGCATCACTGGGGGGCTTGGAATTCCAAGTTTTCTCTCTGCAGAACCTATGAGACATGAAATATCTGCTTACTGTTTAGCCCCCTAGCAGCTTTTTTTGGCTTCTTGTTCTGTACAGATGCAGCTTAGGAGCTTAGGAAAGGCAAATGGCTTCACAGAAATATCATGGGTGATGTTGGGCTCGTCTCACGATTCATTTCCTTCCACCCCTCTTGTGCTGACAGCCTTGGTAGCCCTGTACTCATGCAGATCTTTTCATCTAGTAACAGCGGCTGTGGTTCCAGGCAGCCCATCTGTTTAGCCTGCAGCCTCACACCCAGGTTACCAAATGCCTTTCAGAGGAAATGCTGGCAGAGATGGTCACCCCTCTTGTATCTTTCCTCTCACTGGGACCTTAGCCTTCCAGCCCCACAAGCCTTTGCCAGTCTTCCTACTTTACAAAACCTGGGAGTTTGTGTTTGTTTTTAGTTTCATTTTACTCAGCTTTCATATTTGTTCTCAGCAGGAGGACTAGTCTGGTATAGCTGCTTCTTCATAGCTGGCAGTGTAAGTCAGCATCCGAGAAGTTCCCATCATTTCTGGACTGTGTGGTTTTCATTGTCATGTGGCTTACATTCTCCAGGATGCAGTGTCAGCCTTACTTGCAAGAACTTCAGCTGAGCTGTTGGCTGTGGAACAGGAATTGGCTCAAGAAGAAGAGGAGGAGGAACTAAGGCCCAAAGAAGAGCCACGGGGCCCAGAAGGAGATTGGTAAACAGGCCTTTCCTTTGCTGGTGGGAACTCACTGAGGAGATGCTTGGGTTCTCATAGGAAACTTCCAGGGGACCTTTATAGGTTCATGTCTTAGTTTAGAATTATGGCACAGTTTGGCCTCAGGGAGTGATGGCTGGAGGGTCTCCCTGGTCATTAGAAAGTTAGTGGAAGAAATGGCAAGATTGTGGGCACAGTCAACACATTAACTAGGGCTATTTTTTTTTAATTGAACTTTTGCAATTTTCATACAATATATTTTAATGGTATTTATATTCCCTCCCCTATCTACATCTCCCCTTACTACCCCCATCCCAACTTAATGTACTCTATTATATATACATACATATATATATGTATATGTATATATAATAAGGCCTATAGAGTCTGATTTCTGTCCCTAAATATGTCCTTCAATGTGGGTCCATCTACTGGAGACTGGTTAACCTATCAAGAGTTCCATCCTTGAAAGAGGCTCTCTCCTTCTCCCAGCAGTCATTGGCTGCCAATATTTCCTCAGGTAGGGTTGGGGTTTCTTACCCAATTCCCCATGTCTATGCTGCTATTTTGTCTGGTTTGAGTTTATATGCGACTTGTGCATGCTATCACCATTGCTATGAGTTTATATAACTGACCCGTTGTCTGGAAAATTGTATTTACTTGTGGTCGTCTACCACCTCTGGCTCTTAAAATCTCTGCCCCCTCTTCTACAATGATCCTTGAGCCTTGGGAGGCAGAGGTTTGATATACGTGTCCAATTCAGGGATAAACATTCTGCAGGCTCTTTTTTTTTTTTTTTTTTTGACTTTTACAAAATCTTTATTGAGAATTTCATACATGCACATAAGGTGTTTTGATCAAATCTATGCCTACTCCCTCCCTTCCAACACCTCCCATATCTCCCCATCACTTTTTTCTTTTTCTTTTTTCTTTTTCTTCTTTCATTTATTTATTTTTATGGGCCTTTTGAGTACTTTATCATTCCCCCCTCTGAAGAGGTAACCCTAAAATCTTTTAAGGATTAGATAAAAGCTCCCAAATACTTTGGACATTTTTGGACTTTGTAACACAGTATGTTGCTAAGAGGCCCAAGGACATTTTGACTTTTAGCCAAGAAACTGGCTGCTTTTGGGGGCGGGGGTCTTTTTTACCCTAATTGCCTAGCCAATTCATACCTCCTATTCTTATCATGCTGTCCTCTGAAGGGGTTACTCAAATTGCCAATAGGGAATCGGGACGCAGACCGCTCTGGCCTCTTCCATGCTGAACAGGGACACAGGGTGAGGCAATTGGAGTACCCCTTCAGTGGGTCTATCTAAAAGACTCCCAAATTGCATAAATCTTATCTCTAAGGGGAAAAGAAAGTCCTTGTATCATGAATAGGAGATGTGAAGGAGAAGTAAAGGCAAGAGTAATTAGCATTACAAGGTCTAGACAGGGAACTAGAAAAAAGTCAGAACAGGGCAATTTTCAAACAGGCTTTTTATTCTTGCTTCTGGTAATGTTTAATACTGTTTGCTCTGCTTTTTATTAAAGTCTAAGCTATCAATTTTGAAAGCTATAATATCTTATTATAGAGTTCTAGATAAGTTAAAAATGGCTTTTTCTTTAAACTAGGAGTGCCCTTTGAGCTGTCCTAAGACAAAGCAGATATTTAGAAATGAGCGTCTGGGTAGCCACTACAGTATTGGTTACAGCTTTTACCTTTTCTGCTTCCTTTTCTGTATCAGTAACTCATCCTTTAGAAATGGATGTCCATATTCATATACCCTTGAATATCTACATGCTAAGAGCTATATTTCCAGATTTTTATTATAGCGTCTAAAAACACATTTTAGTGAATGCTTCCATTTTTTAGTATCTGCCATATGTAAACATTTGGATTGTTTTATGTACAGTTGCTTATACTGTTCTGTTGGATTGGTTTACTCTTAATATATATAAGATAGTCACTTGTATGTATGCATATACAAGATTAAACATATTAGAAATTCATAGTGACAAGATAGGTCATACATGACACAGTCATGGACATTTGGAACGAAGGGCTATGACAGTGATGTAAAAAGGTAGAGACACTTTGTGATTAAAAATTTTAGCACTTCAGAACAATCCAGAGGGGTTTGTAAGGTTTATCACAGTTTTTTTTTTTAACCATTGAGCTTTCCTCGTGCTTATGAAATACAATTTATTTCACACATTTCAAAGAATATACTTAGCATGCAAATAAAAGAACTTACAATGCACTGTAGTCATTGCTGGTTCTCCCTGGTGCTCATTTCATGACTAGACAGTTAATAACTAGTCTCTGTCAGTATGTCGGTATGCCACCAATTGGAATTAAGGCTTGGCATTTAGAGATCCATGGAAAAGCTTCTATTCTAAGAATGTGAAACTCAGCAAGCGTGCAATGTTCTGAGCCACCACAGCCTGAGCCTGCTGTGTGTGCCCTGCAGAAACTGGTCCTCTTCTTGCCACCACCCAAGCTCATGCCACAATTTTTGTTAAAGACGAGCACTTGAGACACTTGACAGTCTTCTGCTGGCTCAGTAGCAAAACTCCCTTTACCCAACGTTATCCCTGCCTGTCACTGAATAGTAAGTAGGTAATGAGTATTTTAATCCTCGTGTCTTTATTCATTCTTAGCTGAGAATAACCAATTCCATTCTGTTTTATGATTAATTTTATAATCAATGAATAACTAATACTAAGTTATTTTATAGTGAATGTTGATATTTTTACATTCTGAGATTAAAATTTGTAATTGCTCTTTGTGTGTGATATTTCTGTTTAAGGTCTGGAAATTTGTTCAAATTTCATAAATTTAATATTTTAGTATCATAAGATGGTGATTTTGCTCCGGATTACTGGAAAATGCAGTAAGATTTTTTTTTCTTGAGCTATTTAGTTAAAAGTTCCAGCCAGGGAGTGTCTTGAATCATTATATGAAGCTCTGCTATTTCCCAGGTAATGCGTTAACATAACCTGGGTTATACTGTCCATGCAGTCTGCCTGCCTGACTAAAAATGTGTTTTGTTTTTGTTTTGTTTCACCATAGTTTAACAATGCTAAGAGAGGCCTCTGATGAGACTGTAGCTGCAAAAGAGGCTGAAGTTCAGTTGACAGACAGTGACAGCTATACAGAAGACCTGGGTTTATGCACTAATGTGCCTGGAATGAGTGAAGACGGGTGTAGGAAAGAAAGGATACATGAGGAAGACCATAGCCAGCCACCAACTGGAATTCCCACACTGGTGAATATTCTGCTGTACTCTCCTAAAACAGAGCCCCTGCAGATACCATGTAGACGCAAGGGATGCTTGTTTCTCTTCCAGGTCTGATTCTCTATTAGGATTTGGGCCCAAAAGGCTTTTATAGGAATAGTCACCAAGAAGCATTGTAAATGTTCTAAAATTTTCACATGGGCCCCAAATATTGATTCTTCATTTATACTTAATGTAATATACTTTATATCTCTATAAATGTTCTGTGAATGCTTAGGCTTTTTTTCTAAGGGTAGGGATGTAGCTTAGTTGGTGCAATGCTCACAGCCTGGCTTTAATCCCCAATACCATACAAACAGTCATGGTGGCACACAGCTGAATCCTAGTACTCAGGAAGTAGAGGCAGGAGGATCAGAAGTTCAAGGTAGTATGTTCAAGGTAGTTCAAGTATCAACTATATAGTGAGTTCAAAGTCAACCTGAGATACATGAGACCCTGTCTCAAAAAAATAAATAAATAGCTAGCCGTGGTGGCGCATGCCTTTAACCCCAGCACTTGGGAGGCAGAGGCAGGTGGATCTCTGTGAGTTCAAGGCCAGCCTGGTCTACATAGTGAGTTCCAGGCCAGCTGGGACTACAGGGAGACCCTGTCTCAAAAAGACCAGAAAATAGAATTAAATAAATAAATAAATAAAATTTCTGAGCCATCTGTGGCTATGTGTATCTGTAATCCCAACCCTTAAGAGGCTGACATAAGAGAACTACAAGTTCCAGCCAGCCTGGGCTCCATAGCAAGACTTGCCTCAAAACAAATATTTTTCTACTTTTGATAAATTGGGGGACTATTTAATAGTATCGATTTTCAGAGTTTACATCAATTTTAAACATGTAGTAAATATTTGAAGTTCATCTTGGCTAGATGGAGATCTTACTGAAATCTCTGGACATGTGACTTGGTTAGACAAAGGGACCAGTGAAGTTATCAAAGAGGCCCCTTAGCTGCTTGAATGAGAAATGCATTGAGACCATCCCTGAATAGGAGGCATCATGTTCAAGCCTTGAGGGTGACACACCAGGGATGTTGGGGGCAAAACTTAGAATTCCCTGACCAAAACTTTCCTTTTATAAAGTAGCAAACCTCCTTCCAGAGGAAATCTAGAATCAAGTTAACCTTGTAAGACAAAAAGATATATAGCTGCTTTGGCATGAAGTTTGGATTTTGAGACACTTCTGTTTTTACTTAAATTGTATTTTTGTTGCATTTCCAAAAATCCAATAAATTCAAGCTCAGATTCACAACAGTTATGATGTTCATGCATGCATAATGTCATACTCCACTTAAATCTACAATTTTGTGTCTTTTCATTTTCTTATATTGTTATTTTTATCATTAGACCTTGTTCTTAAAAAATAAATAAATAAATTAAGTAGTGTTTAATGATGATATATTTCCAAATAGGATTCTTTACCGTGGAAAGCCACCTTCCCCATTTTCCCTTCAGAAGTATTGTGCTCTGTGACGCAAGCTTTTCTCACAAGAGCCTCCCTGGTGCTACACGAGTCTCTGCTTAACCTTAGATGTATCCTTGTTCTTAGAAGGATGGCACATGTATGAACATGCATCTATCAGCTCCTGACCAATTGCCAACTTCCCTCATAGGTTGATAAGGAGACAAATACTGAGGAAGCAGTTAATGACAGCATGGCAGTTCGCCCCAAAGACCGCAGCAGCCTGAGCTCTCGACAACATCCCTTCATGAGGAGCAGCGTGATAGTGCGCTCGCAGACCTTTTCCCCAGGCGAGCGGAGCCAGTACATTTGCAGGGTAAGGCGACAGTGCTGCTAATGAACTACTGGTTACAGCAGTCTCTTCCCTCCTGCCAACGAGTAGCCCATTAATGGCAGACTATGCATAGGAAGCTGAAATCCTGACACTAATGGCTAGACTTGCTACAGAATGTAGAAGAGCATATCCTGGGGGCTCTTTTCAGTTAGTTTTCCCACAAATTTAATGTCTTCCTGGTTCTAATGTGATTTGTTTGGCAAATAAGTAAAGTTTATGGTTTTAGATGCTAAGAATTGTTGGATGTTTATGTTTAGAAACATAAAGTGACTTAATAAATATAGTTTGTGTATTTGTGCCCCCTATCATATGTGCTTCCTACTACGTTAATCTTGCTGAAGTAAAAAATTGTAAATTGGATATTGGAACAGAAATCATCTTCTAATACCTCTGGATACTGAGTCAGATTCGTAATTCTATGAAGAAAGTTGTGGGATTTTCATTAGTTTACCAAATTTTATTTCAAGAACTGTTTGTGAATTATAGTAAAGTAGATTTAATATTACATCAAATGAGCTTAGAGGGACTTTTAGAACTCTGAACTTATTCATTCAAGTAAGAAAATATTTTTATTAAGCACTTTCTTAGAAACAAAGAAGGCTTAGTCCCCTGCCCTTTTGCAGAACTTTTGTTGTTGTAAATGAGCCAGACCATAAGTAATAAACACGATGAATAAGCTGTGAAGTGGCGTGGCTCAGGATCAATGCTATGGAAAGCAGTAGAGCAGGCTGAGGGGTTTGGGAGTGGAAGTAGGGATCTGGGTAGCTGTATCGATAGGTGGCATTTAGCAGAGCCTTGAGAGGGTGAGTGTGTGCATTCTGGGCAGAACACACTCTTACTCTGACATTGAGCTGCCCTTTATGTAAATCTTTTAGAGAAACAAGCATCCCCTGTTAGCTAAAAGTACAAAAATCATTTCATTTTAAAAATAGTGACCTTAAACATATAACTTTTGATAACTGCTACTAAAAGGCAGTTCTTTAAGTTATTTAAGAAAAATGAGTTTAGGAAACCATAGAACAGGGAAGAAATTATTTATGGAAGATTTTCTTAAAAGTATAGTTCATGGGCTACTGATGTAGCTGTATGACTGATCAATTTCCTAGCAGGCATGAGGCCCTGGATCTGATCCCCAGCACTGAAAAAAGAAAAAAGAAAAAAAAAAAAAACCCACCCACTTGTTTTATTTGGAAACTTCTCCATTCTAACTTCCATTAGCACTGTTTGTTATGCAGTGATTTTTCTTCTTTTTATCTTTGGCTGCCAGTTAAATCGGAGTGACAGTGACAGTTCAACCTTGGCTAAAAAATCATTGTTTGTGAGAAACTCCACTGAACGACGCAGTTTGCGAGTCAAAAGGGTACGTATTCCCTGAGCCACGTCTCATTACCCCAAACCAATTCTAGACTCCGAGAATTGCAGGGGATAAATTCCAGAACTGATGTGTGTCAGAGCTCTACTCTATGCTCCGGGCTGTTGACCAAAGCCACAGTGACCTCAGAGAGATCAAGTGTTAAAACAGCTACCAAACCCGAGAAGATGTGTTTGAGAGCAGATGTTTGGCACTGGTTTGGAACCTGTGATGATTAAGACTGGAAACTAGTTTGTTGTGTCTTTCAAGAAGGTGGTTGCTAAGCCTCCAAGAGTCAGTAGGTTGAAACACATATTTCTAATCTCTACACATGTCTAGACCTTGAGTGTCTATTGAAGGAATGAAAAATCTGGTACCTTCCTAAAAGAGCAAGTATTCTGCAAAGAAGTAGCACATGTGTTTTTAAGTTAGAGGAAGGGGTGTCTTTTTTTTTTAACTACCAGTTTTGTAATTTTCATAGTTATTTTTAAGGGATAAAAATGTGGATAGGACAGTTCAGGTCAAGTTTTTCTGGAGGCTGGCAATCCCTGGCTGAGCTTTAAGGCTAATTCTGAGAGAATATTTTAGTAAATTAAAAGGTTAAGGGGCTGGGGCGGGAGAGATGGCTCAGCGGTTAAGAACACTGACTGCTCTTGCAGAGGACCTGGGTTCGATTTCCAGTACCCACATGGCAGCTATGAACCATCCTTAACTCCAGTTCCAGGGGAATCTGAAGCCCTCTTCTGATCTCCGTGGCATTGCACAACATGGGTGCACTCACATACATGCAGCCAATACACTCAGACACATGAAATGAAAATAAAAAATAATATTTTTTTTAAAAAAAAAAGGTTAAAGGGCTGAGGTAATCTCAGCAGGGGAAGGCACTTGCCTCCAAAACTGATAATCAGAGTTTAATTCCCCAGGACCCACATGGTAGAAGGAGAGAACCAATTGCCACAGTTGTCCCCTGACCTCCACATGCACACAGGAACACAGTTGTACCCTCCCCATGCACAATAAATAAATAAATAATAAATAAATAAATAAATAAATAAATAGTTTATAAAAACTTGCAAGGGTTAGAGAGTTGGCCAACAATTCAGAGCACTTACTGCTTTTCCAAAGGACCCAAGTTCAGATCCCAACACCCACATTGGGCAGCTCTCAACCACCTGTTAACTCTAGGAAATCTGGCACCTTCTTCTGGCCTCTCCTGGTACCTGCACATAAATCTCTCTCTCTCTCTCTCTCTCTCTCTCTCTCTCTCTCTCTCTCTCTCTCTCAATAAAAATAAATCTTTTTTTTCAGTTGCAAAGATTGGGCAGTTCAAGTAGTTCACAAACTCCTGTTTACTTCTAATAGTTGATATATAAGAGAAAGCAATTTGCTTCCTGTTATTATTGTGTTTGGTTAGCATGAAGAATTGTGTGAAGAACTTTCCATGGTGAGGTGGTTAGCATTAAGAGCCCACATTCTGGAGGGAGTCTCTCACATGACTGTTTGCAGAATGAGTTCATCTATGAGAAAGACGAAGGCTTCAGAAAATGTCTGGGCCTCAAGGCTGGATAAGTTTTGAAAGAAAGTCATACCTGTGGGCAGATAGCAGGTATGTAGAGTGAGGAAGTAAAGGATGCTGGGGACTTTGTGTGCTGATCTGGAATGGCAGGGGCTGGAAAACATATGGAAGTGTGCATTCTGCTATAGTTCAGCATGAATCTTGGTGTTATGGATGGCCAGGTGAGCCTAGGAGAGAGGAAGTTAGAATCTTTATCTACATTTCTGCTGTTCTGGTTTCATGACACCACTAGATATAACTAGGTAACTTTTTGTCCCCCTGGTTTGACTTTCTAGTCACTTGTTACATCTCTTGCCTACAAGCCAAATGCTGGAATTTATTAACATTCGGCATTTGGGGGAAATTCTGAGGTATAGATCTTTCTGGCTACTTTGTATTGAGAGGACCTAATTTTCCAACATCTTAAATAAAAATTCTCACTTCCTTTCTAAGTCACCTGCTTTCTGAAGCAACATGTCTGTTAGGAGATAGCAACATGCTTCAGGGGCATTTTAATGAGCAGTATTGCTGAGTGGAGCTAGGTTATTCATAAGCTTAGTTATTAGAACTACTTGAGCTAGATAAAAGTTAATCCTGAAATGGTTCTGCAGTTAGAGGTTTAAATGGTTAAGTAGACAGATATGGTTCACTAAAACTGAGTGGAAGGTAGTGTTCTGATTCAGGAATCCCAGCATGAAAATTATATAAAGGTCCAAGAGTGCAAAGACTGGTACAAGATTTGCCTGCCTGGGTGTCAGAGTCCCAGGAGTATGAGTCATGAGGTGCGGGGGCAGGGGGGTGGGCACCTGGACAGTGGTGTGCTGAACCTTCCTCACACTAGCTCTCAACTGTGTCCAGCTCTTCCCAGTTTAGTGACATCATGTTGAAAATGTTACAGTGAGTAGTCACACAGTAGAAATCATAGAAGCCTACAGTCAGTGCTGCTCTCTCCCCCTTGTTGAACATGTACCAACACACCACTGTACACTGGACTGCTTACAGAGGCTCCATGTGCGTGGAACTAGGAAAGAGTACTGGTTTTTAATTTTCTAAAAGAGTGTGTGTGTGTGTGTATGTGTGTGTGTGTGTGTCTGTGTGTCTGTGTGTGTGATGTTTATGTGTATGATGTGTGTGAGTAGAGTGGTGTGTATGCCATGGCATACATGTGGAGGTCAGACGATAACTCAGGAGTCGGTTCTTTCCTTCCACTTTGTTGAGGCAGGGTCTCTGTTGTTTCTGCTACTGCACTGTGTACTCTAGGCTAGCTGACCAGTGAGCTTCTGGGCAATTCTTCTGGCACTGCCACCCATCTTGCTGTAGGAAGGAGATTACAAATGCTTGCTACCACATCCAGTTTTTGTGTAGGTCATTGGACTTGCATGGCTAGCACCTTTACCCACTAAGCCATCTCCCCAGCCCAGGAAAGATTTCTGATTCAGAAAAACAAGTCATAACAGTCAAAGCACTTATATATCTAGATATTTCTTGTCATGTTGGTAATGTGTTGGAGAAGGCAAGGATTGAACAAAGGAAACCTAATAAAAATAGTATAGAAGCCTAAACATGTAGCGGACATGAGATTGGTATTAGACAAAACGGAGAAGGACTAGGAAGAGACAATGCCAGATACAGGCCTATAATTCGAGGTACATGGGAGGCTGACTCAGAAGGCTCACAAGTTCAAGGACAGCATACAGAGTGAGTCCGAGGCCAGCCTGGGCAACTTAGTAAGACCCTTTCTTAAAAAGTAAACAGCGGGCTAGGGATACAGCTCACTGGTAGAATGCTTGCCTAAACATACAAGGCCGTTGGCTCAATTCCCAGTTTAAAAAAAAGAAGAAAGAAAGAAAGAAAGAAAGAAAGAAAGAAAGAAAGAAAGAAAGAAAGAAAGAAAGAAAGAAAGAAAGAAAGAAAGAAAAAAACTATTCCACCTTGAGTGAGGTCCTGAACCTAGAAACTTACAGCCACTTATGAGAGAGATGTACTCTTGCTCTGGAGTGTGTTACTGAATATGTTAAAGCTATAATGAAATGTTTCTTCTAATCATGTAGTTATTAAAAAAACTTTTTTAATTAAAATAAAATAAAAAGTAAACAGCGGGCTAGGGATATAGCTCACTGGTAGAAGCTTGCCTAAACATACAAGGTCCTTGGCTCAATTCCTAGTTAAAAAAAAAAAAAAAAAGAAAAAGAAAAAAACTATTCCACCTTGTGTGAGGTCCTGATATAAGACACACAGACAAGGCCCTCCCACTTCCTTTTGTTATGAGAACCATTGTTTTTCCACATCTTCAAACTAGAACAAATATCAAGTTTGAAGCTCTCATCTGTTATATCACATAGTTCCCATTCTTAGGAATCTCTTATTTTCTATTTGCACAATAATGAATCTAGGCAAGAAATACCCTCTGTACCCTCTGCTTATGCCATCTTACCTAATCTAATTTATGTTCTTTTCATCAAATGAATATGACTCATCCCTGTCCTCATTCTCTTACCAGTATTCTGCCTATAACCCCCACCCACCCACCGACATTTGCTCCTACCTAAGTAATTATTCCTTGATAAATGGATAGATTGGCCCTGGGAGGGACAGTGGTGAAAGTAGATGCTACACAGTGGGGAAGAGCTGAAATTTAAGCATCTGGATTGTGAGAGAGCAGACTCTGCACTGCCTTCTGGCCAGCACTCAGGATGTGGTAGGAAAGGAGTGAGCTGCCAAGAGTTCTGTTTCCTCAAATGGACGACATGTAAGCTTTTTGTAACATGTTTGTTTTCCAAATAGCATGGACTGTCCTACCTAGTTTGTTTGTTTTTTGTTTTTTTTTAATTAAATTTACTTATTTATGTATTGGGGTAACATGCCACAGCAAGTATGTGAGGGTCAAAGGACAACTTGCAGGAGTTGTTTCTCTCCTTCCACAGTGTGGGTTCTGGAGATTGAACTCAGATCATCAGGCTTGGCAGCAAGTGCCTTACTCACTGAGCCATCTCACCAGCCGCATATTCACTTTTAAAATAGTTTAAGATGATGGGGTTTGTTTCATGCTTGGCTACTAGTTCATGGCTGGCGGACCTCATGTTGGACCCTTTCTATTCTCACTGGGACCCAGGCTGATGGAGCCTCCATCTCTGGCCCTCCGCTGTGCCTCCAGTAGAAGCAGGAACCCAGGGCTCTCATATACCTTTGGAAGTAAGATGGACTCCTCCCACTTCCCTTTCTTTGGCCAAAGCAAGTCACATGGCCAGTTATGCCTCCCTTCCTGCGAGTAAGGAAGAGCAGTCTTGTCTTGCATCAGGGAGGACAGGCAGAATAATGACTACCCACATAACAAGGGGAACCTGGTTTTCTGCTTCTCCAGGCGGTCTGCCAGCCAGTCCTCAGAAGGGCAGCCCAAGAATGCCCCGTGCGCACATCTCTAGACCTGGAACTGGACCTTCAGGCCTCGCTAACCCGCCAGAGTCGCCTCAACGACGAGCTACAGGCCTTGAGGGACTTGCGACAAAAACTGGAGGAGCTGAAAGCTCAGGGAGAGACCGACCTTCCTCCCGGTGTACTGGAGGACGAGAGATTCCAGAAGCTCCTGAAACAAGCTGAGAAGCAGGTACAGAGTTCTGGGTCACTCACTGGGAGAAGCTGATGCGGATTCTTTCCTGGTGAGGGCCGCCACCGTGTAGGAGGTTCCCAATCTCACCCCTCAGATCCTTTTTCTAGGACTTGGGATAGGTCCATCCCACCATTATAGTGCCTCTGCTACCCAAATATTGCTAAAAGAGTGGTGGTCTTTGGGCATCTGATAGAAAGGGAGCCTGGCAGGAGGCAGGACCTGGTCCTGGTTATTTCTCCTCAGCGTTTTCTGTGTTTCAACAAGTTATGCATTTAGCTCTTCAAGATTTGTAGCTAACCACATTAGTTACAAATACATTGCTAATTTTTTTAAAAATTATTTTTCTATTTCATGTGTATGAATGTGTGCCTGCATGTATGTATGTGCACTATGTGCATACCCAGTGTCACTGGAAGCCGGAAGAGGGCTTCTGAGCCCCTAGAACTGGAGCTACAGGTTGGTAGCCACCATGTGGGAGCTGAGAACTGAACCTGAGCCCTCTGCAAGAGCAGCCAGTGCTCTTAACTGCTGAGCCATCTCTCCAGCCCCCTACACCGCTCATTTTAATGTTCCTAAATTTTCACTTTCCTGCCTTGAAAGATGCCATTTCACTTACTAGGATTCACTTACCTTTCACCCTACAGACATCCATACAAAGTAAGACAAAATCGCTGAATAAAGGTTTGGGTCTTTTTTTATATAGGCATGCATGTACCACCCCACCTAACAAAAATAAAATATATTAGAAAAATTGTTTCTATTGTGCCACCCAAATATTACTGACATTTTCAAGAATTTACATGAGTATGAAATTGATTTATTCTCAGGATTAGAATGTATATTTTGCTTTAGAACTAAGTATTCATTTCTATATATATGTCCTATATAATCTTCAAATACAGGTGAAAACTATTTGAAAAGTATCACAAGTGCCAAACCATTATTTTCTTTTAATTTAGGGTGGAAATGTGATGTACAGTTTATCTGTCCTTGAACTAATAGAAAATATAGACAATATCATCCATAAGAAATCTTTCTTTTGAACCAAAAGTTATTTTTTTAATCTTGTGGTTGTGGTGCTATAGGGGGGTTTCAGTTATTTCATTAATTAGTAATACTACTCTCAGAGGGAACTATGAATGAATTTCAAAAATCAAACAAATAATCTTTTTTTTTTTTTTTTTTGAGATAGGCTTTCACTATGTAGCCCTGGCTGGCCTAGAACTCACTGTGTAGACCAGGCTGTCATGGCCTCAAACCCACAAAGATCCGCCTACGTCTGCCTCCCCAGTTAAAGGTTTACACCTCTACACCCTACCTAATACCAATATTTTAAAAATATTTTTATTGAATTTTTTGGATTTCATACAGTAATACATCTTAATCATATTTAGCCCTTCCCTTTCCTATCTGCACTCCCCCCATAGCCCACCCACAGGACTTCATGCATTTTGTCATATATATTAAGGCCTGTTGAGTCAAGTTTGTGTACCCAGATCTCCATCAGTGTTAATTCCACTGGAGCCTGTCTAGCATCACTCCCATAAAGATCACCTCTCCCTCACACAGCAGTAATTAGCTACCAATAGTTCCTCGCCAAAGTTGTGACCTCCTGCCCATTTCTCAGTTCTATCCTTGTTTTTATCTGATTGAGTTTGCATGGATCTTATGCATACTGACACCATTGCTGTAAGTTCGTATGAGCAAGGTCCCAGTAGCCTGTAAAACTTTGTTTCCTTGTGGTCCTGCTCCTCTTCTCTTGGCTCATACAATCTTTCTGCCCCCTCTTCTGCAATAGTCCTTGAGCTGTGGTGGGTGAAGTTTAATATAGGAGCCCTGTCCATTTACTCACTGCAATATTTTTTAAAACTCTAAGTAACAAAGCATATTACCTATTCTATTCCACTTAGTAGACAGAAAAGTGAACACATAATAGAATCTCAGGAAGTTTGTCCAACATGGAGTCAATGGTAGACCTAATTGTGAATATAGGATTTTTTTTAATACTTTATTATTATTTTTATTTTATGTGTATGAGTATATTGCCGGCATGTATGTGAATGCACCCATGTCATGCAATGCCCAAGGACAGCTTCGAATTCCCCTGGAACTGGAGTTAAGGACAGTTCGTAGCCACTATGTGGGTGCTGGGAATCAAACCCGGGTCCTCTGCAAGAGCAGTCAATGCTCTTAACTGATGAGCCACCCCTCCAGCCCCAATACAGGTTTTTAAACATGGTCGTGATGGAGGAGATTGCCTGGCATTCCAGCCCTCAAGGGAGTTCTCTTCCTGGAGAGGTGAGAGGGTTCCTGAGTGAGGTGCCACTGTGGCTTGCTTTGACAGTGAGTGAGTAAGGTCCAGATAAACACCACCATTGAAGGGCCCATGGACAAGAGCCTATGGGGAAATGGGGCCCACAAAACTCATCGCTTCATAGACTTGAAAGCAGAAGTGAGCTACCCTCACATTATAACCTTAGCAAAGGTTATCTTCTTTATCTTCTGTGTCTCTTAACTCATCATCCACAGCAAATTCAAACTCTTGGTCTTTTGACCATCCTTAATACTAGAGAGAAGCATCTTAGTCTTGGCCCTTGTGGATCAAAGGCTCTCAGTTAATTGGAGTTTTATAACTATGCATATAAACAAAACTTAGTTCTCCTGAACTTTTGTTGTTTGTTTCTGTTTTGTTATAACAAGAAATTCTCTATACTCAGGGATCAGTAATTATTATTTTGAGATTTTTTTTCCACTTAATGTTTAATATTAAGAGCCATAAATAAATTGCTTGCTATTACAGTTTATTTGTGTCAGTTTTTAGCATATCTCCATTGTATAAATAGGAGCTCAATAAAGCAAAAAAGCACTTCAGAGTGAAAAAACCTGAGAAAAAAATGTAAAAAGGGATAAATCTCTGAAAAAGACTGTAATGGGCTCAGTATGAAATGTCCCTCAAAGGTTCACGTGTTGAAGGCTTGGTCCCAGCTAGTGGAAGTATTAAGAAGTGATCACACCAGGAGTACTTCGTAGTTCAATGAGCTAGAACCAGGGGTCACTAGGAGGTGCCTCTAAAGGGCATACCTTGTCCTCTTCCTCGCTCTCTCCCTGCCTTCTGTCCAGGTGAGCCGCCCTGCTCCACTGCATGCCCTGCTTCACGTGGTCACCTTGCCTTGTCCAGGCCCAGAGGCAAAAGAGCCATGTGACCATGGACTGAAACCATGAGCCAAAATAAGCCCTTCTTCTCTTAAAACTGGTTTCTCTTAAAACAGGTATTTTGCCACAGCAACAAAAAGTGACTAACACATCGATGAAAAAGAAAAAAAAGTACAGATAAATTTGGAATTTAAAAAATAATTGAATGTGGAGCTGGAGAGATGGCTCAGCAGTTAAGAACACTGGCTGTTCTTGCAGAAGACCCGGGTCTGAATCCCAGCACCCACATGGCAGCTAACAACTGTCCCTAACTCCAGCCCCAGGGGATCCGACAGTCTCTTCTGACCTCCATGGGCATTGCATGACACGGGTGCACTTACCTAGTTGCAGGCAATACACCATACACATAAAATCAAAATAATAAATAAAATTTTTAAAAAATAGTTTAATGTAATGAGCAGTATATATCCACAATTTAGACAGATACCTAGGAAAATATACAAAAAATGGTAAGTGAAGGATGGTGGTTGAGAAATCCTATACCTCTTAAAGAAATGGCAGCAGGAATTTAAAATCTACCCATAAAGAAAACATAAAGTCTATATTTTTTACTGACAGGTTCTACTAAATTTTCAAAGAACAGATTGTCTCAATTTTATACATTAGGAGAAAACATGCCACACTTAAATCTATATGGTTAATGTCCCTGATTCTTAAAGTAAGCAAAAAGTATTATCAAAGGGAAATCACAGGCTAGTTACATTTATGAATGGAGATACATAAATCTGAAATGCTAGTAAACAAAATCAAATAACTTTTTTGGGGGGGGCCTTTTGAGACAGGGTCTCCCTTTAGCCCCAGCTGGCCTGGAACTCACTATGTATACCAGGCTGGCCTTGAACTCACAGAGATCCACCTGCCTCTGCCTCCAAAGTGCTGGGATGAAAGGCATACGCCATCATGCCCAGCCTTAAAAACACATTTTGGCTATATTGAACTGTGAAAGTTTTTTTAATATTAAGAAATGTATTAGTACACTCACATTAACAGATTGAAGAAAAAAAACTATTGATCAACTCCATGGATACAGGAAAATACTCATGAAAGTCAGTGGTCATTCATATTTCAAATCCTCAGTAAGCTAAAAGAAGACATCAAACTCCTGATAAAGAATAACATAAACCAAATGTGATTCTAAATAGATGAACATTGCAGTCGTTTCTTTGAAATGAGACACAGGCATTCTTCAGCATTCTTCAACATTGTGCTTGTTAGGAGTTCTAGTTGGTGCCATAAGACAAGCCAAATGATTGGAGGTGGGGGGAGCTGTCATGATTGGCAAGTAGCATGGTTGCCTGCATTAAAAAAATCTACAAGTTATTAGAGATAAGAGAATTTAGTAAGCTGGGTAAATAAAAGAATGATCTATAAAATCTGTTATATTTCTTTCTCTATTGATTACTATATTAGCTGTGGCCAGAGTAACAGAGAACAACTTAAAGGAAGAAAGTTCTGTTTGGCGTACAGATTCCGAGTGTTCATTCCATGTTTGTATGGCCCCTGCAGTTTGGCAGAGCATCCTGGCTGTGGGAGCATGGAGTGGAGGAGGCTACTCTTGTGGCAGACAGGAAGCAGAGAGTAAGGGATCCGAGGCAAGGCATAATCTTTAAGGCACCCTCCTTGTAGCCTACTTCCTCCTGCTGGCCCCACCTCCCTAAATTTCTAGTACTTCCACAGTAGCACCACCAACTGGGGATGAAGCAGTCAACACATGAGGTGTTGGGAGCATTTCACATTCAACCTATAACACTTTTTAATGCACCAGCCAAAAACAGCTAGAAAAT